ACGGCCGCTTGTCTCGCCAGCGCATTGATATTCAAGAAGCACCATTCCCCCTTCGTCACAGGAGTAATATCTTCAAAAGCATTTGGAGTCATAGGACCCCTGAAATGTGGACCACGATCCTCTCGCAAAGCACCCTCGAGGTCGAATTGGTAGCTAACCGCAGTATTGAGGTCAACACCACGAGCTGACTCGCCCATAGAGATGGCAGTAAGTGGGATAGCGGTAACTGGTGATGGAGAGCCGCAGGACGATGATGGACTGAAGTAGGAGCTACACTGTGAGCTGCGTGTCCAGTCGCTGCTTGCTTGAGAACATGTCACTGAGTTTCCGAGGCGGAAAGATGGAGCTGGAGTCTGCCTCAGATTCGTGAAGCTAGTTGTGACGCTCAAGGAAGGTAGTACTGTTCGGGTTCTCTCATCTTGACAATCGATGGCGCCGGTGCGAGAGAAGCCCCCATATGCGGTCTTATATGCTTGATTTACGTCTACGAGAGCGGGAAACGATGTGCCGAGCCATTCATAGCAACGCATGAGGTGGGCTCGAGTAATAGATAGTGAGTTCTGGGCGAGAACTAGAAGGCGCAATTGATCAACTGTGGCGAGAAGAGCATCGGCTGTCAGGGTACGCGAGTAGGCATGAAGTTGGGTTTTGAATGTGTAGATGTGATCTAAGCCCACAAGTCTGAGTCCATTAGAGGCGAACAGAACCTCATTCTGTTCTATAGAGCGTCGGATGAGTTCGTTCGTTGCCGGGTTAGAGTTATAGGTTGTGTATGGCTTCGGTGATAGCCAGCCATATCCAATTTCTGGGAACTTCTTTTCCGCCTTCAGAATAGTATGCCGGAGGATCTTGGTTTCGCGAGGAGAGAGGGGAGTTGTATGATGGAGGGAGATTCCAAATTGGTTTGGCGCTGTAGGCGTGCTACATGGAAGAGCTGGGCTTGAGGTAGCAATCTTGATGTTGAGTCTTGGGACTGCATTCGGGTCTCTAGGAGAAGCAGGCAGGCTTGGGTACTTCGTTCTTGATAGACTCATTGAAGAGGAAGTTGAGGGAGTCGATGAAGCAACGGAGCTTGATGAAGACGATGCTGATGACACCGATGATTTCGATGACCGTCTACTTAATTTTCGTGAGAAAAGCGAAGAAGCCCTCGACGCGTGGGAAAATATAGATTCGACAGGTGATGGTAGGGTTGTAGAATCTGGCGTCATCATGGTCGATGGGACTTGGACCTCCTTCTTAATAACAATTAGGGTCATGTGGATTTCCTTTCTTGCAAGACGCTCCGATACATATTCCAACGCCATTGTGAGAGCTGTTGGCAATCTCTTAGATTGAAGTAGAGAAGAGCCAGCCTCCAGAGGAGAGGAGATACAGTCTTTGGTAATTGGTGCCATTATGGATTAGGATTGAGGGGAGACTGAGAGTGAGAATGAGTTCAACAGTGAAAGAAAGTAAAGCCGGTGACACTCTAAAGCAAAATCATGGGACGGTGACAAGTAAGATATAGATACATCTGGGTTACCGTCACCGTCACCTTGAATGTCAGACGCGGAAATAAACCTTACCACGCCATGTAGTTCCAGGCGACCGGTAGAGGCCAGACACGGACTGATGCGCCTCGGACCTCATGTTGAAGCCACGGCGGTCACGATCTGAGTTATTGTAAGCGCTGCTTGTTTATAAACGCAAGAATTGCCGTTGTATTTGGGCCAGGCTATTCCGGGAAAGAAGATAATTGGTCGGATGTTTTCGACATGCCGAAAATAGCATTTGTGGCTGGCAGTAGGCCGTTATTTATAGCCTTTCTGCCCTGTGGATCTTATCCTGGCACGCCATATATTGATGCACATCTGCTAAGCGAGACCTAAGAGGTGTGCATTTAGTGACATCTGCCAGTGACCATATGAGCATAACTCGGCTCCTGGAGAACCCAACTCGGTATTATGGACGCTATCAAGGGACTGATATATCTTAAGCAGCCAATCACAAATCTTTCTTAATATTTCCCTTCACTAGAAAGGCGCCCCAACCGCTCCAAATCGTGACATTACAAAGAGAGAGAGGTATGTATATGCGTTTCTATCTTTGCTGCATATCCTGTTCCTGCAGCTGAAGATTGTGATAGTGAATAATAGTTGCATCGGGACCGCTCTTATTAACCGGTATCCCCTCGTTGAAGATAGTTAATTTCAAGAAGGCGCCTCCTCAAACATTTGTTGATCAAAATGCGGGGTGAAGTGGAGCACGAACACTTGTAAGTCAGCCTCCTGCTTTTAAGTGTTTGAGAGATATGGAATACTACTTCGAATCGAATGACTCCCTATTCATTGTGTATTTGTTGCCAGCGGTATAGAGTAGAAACAAGTCAGAACGTGGACTATCATGAGAGGTTGCGCGAGCCGAGCTGGTCGTGTTAGAGTAAGATCTAGATAAAATCTCAATCGTAAATATCACGAATACATTGTCTCCATGCTCGGCAACAACCACTGGGAGATGCAGGTCACAAAAGTTGTTTCTTCCTTCGTGTCGTACAGCCTCTCGCTAAAGGACGCGGCCGCCATGCTGGGAAGCTTTCGCCACACCGCAGCCATGTGGTCGAGGCCCATCTTTATGTTTGTTTACGATGATTAAATCATGGAGTAATTTGACTATGCGACCGAGTATAGGGCCTGGCTGTGTCACACGGCATCGCCTTGCTGGCCTCAACCTTTGTTTAATTTCCTGTTGTAACCAGTAACGATCGATACATCGAAATCTTTCTCGAATCCGCAGCCTCTTAACCTCAAGGGGGCCTCCTAAGCGCGCTGGGGGAGATATGATGCTGTCCATTATCACAGTGTCCACTTCTTGTACTACTCAACCTCCGTACACGAGGCTGTGTCTTGTGGCCTTTTCTTCAACAGCAACGCCGCCCAGTACGTGAGGATGCACTTCGTCACAAGGCGTTCTTCAACAACGGCGACAGGAGAGATTGGACAATCTCGTATTTAAGGACTATCGAGCTCACAAATTAACTACACCAACATCGTTAGCACAATTTTACATCAACCAAACACCAATCAACCGTGGTTGTGACCGACAACATACCTTTCTACGCTCCCTAAACTCGCGATACAAGGCACTCCAAACTTTTCTGTTAGGACACGCATCTGGTTCATCGCTTCCAATGACCGCTTCCTGTCCGCATTTCGGCGTGTTTTCTGCAACATCCTGCAAAGTGATTTCATCCCACGGCTTCGGCATTGGATGGTCGCTGAAATGAATCAATTTTGCCTCCCTCTTCGCCTTCTCTGCATCCCAATCTTCGCCGCCTCCTAGATATTGACGATGTCGATCATTGGGCCGTCGGAATTCTCCTGTCAATAGCGCGTACGGTCTGTGAGGCAGTACAATGCAGGATGTGCCATAGAGTTTGTTGATGATTTCCATATCATACGTCCCAAGTTGGGCCTTTGCTACGGCCTTTTGGGCCCGCAGGTACTCAGCAGTGGATGGTTGGATGAGCATGATGTGAGAGGCGAGTGTAGGAGTTTCTAACCAGTATGCTCTAGGCATTGCTGCTGTGGCCGGAGGGAGCAGGAAAAGTTCATCCATGGGTTGAAGGAGAGTGGCGTCTGAATCGAGAACGACAATCCGATCATACTCTGTCATATTGAGGGCGAGTAGTTTAGTATAGGAATCCGCCCACATCTCTATTCAATGCATCAACTAACTATCAGAAGCAAGAAAATGGGGTTGAAATCTTACGGTAATTCATCTTGATGTTCAATATCCTCACTCTTTTCAGCTTCACGCCATAGTTTTTCTCCGCGAACCCCAAAAGCTTCTTCACAAGTCCGTCTTTCACGGCACTTTTACTACCATATCCCTCCGTCTCAAATTCCTCTGTATCCGGAATCAGCATTACACGCTGCGCCATACTCCCAAGCCTCTTCACACTCTCCAACATCATCAAAGCATTACACAATACCTCCTTGTGTGTAACATATGTCACGTACGCATACCTGGCCCAATCTATCCCACTGAAGTCTAACCCCTTGAAGTCCAACCCATGAATGGACTTGGCTGGTTCGCTGTCACTCCTTGCTGTCGCTACAGGAAACTCAGCTCGTGCTTTTGGGTCATATAAACACTGCGCTCCACCACCACGCAGCAATCCCCATCTTCCGAGGGCATCATAGCTAATATCACCCTTTCTTGGCATAAAATACCACAAACAGATAGCGAAAGCAAGGAACAGCAACAGCCTACGAGTGTTCCTTGACCGTAGAAGCTGGCTGAGAGTTGGTCTTGGTGCTGCCTTTGGGGTCTGGGAATGATGGGTCTCGGAAAAGGGGATGAAAAACGGTGAATTCTCCAAAAAAGACGGTATTTCTGCAGTGGTGTGATGGGTGCTGGATTTCCGTCGCTTATGAGGGATGTAGGTTGACATGACGAGATGTGTCAACACCGGAGATAAATATGCAAATATGTATCCCATATAACTCAAGAAACACCGTATGAAAACAGCAAGGCGTACGGACCAAATTCAGAGATGTATATGGCAGAACAATGAGTATGTGGAGAAATCTAGGAAACATTTTAGGGCCTCTTCTACATAACGATCATAATGTTACTCACAAATCAATCAGCTTATATGGCTTTTAGAGCGCAAGAATACCTCCCGCACATGATGCCGTTGTAGATGACGCTAAGCCAAAGTGTCTCTATTCGCGAAAATCCTTGTGGTGCTAGACAGAGTCGGCTCAGAAGGAATGGCGATACAAGAATGGCATAGATGAATTCCCATATGAGGATGGGTGAGTATCATCTAGAGCTCACGTCGAGGTTTTGGAGAGGCCGATGTTGTTAGATTGGAAACCAACCCCTAAGTCCAGACGAAGCAAAAAGGTGGGGCGGGTGACGAAGCTCCGACATTCCGACCACTCGCCTCTTGCCTCCAGTTTTTTATCTCTTCATAAATGCGCACAAGCGTTACTATGTCATCAAATCATTAAGGCACTTTGGCGGAGTGGTTAACGCGATGCCCTGCTATAGAGTAATCTAAGTTGATCAGGCATTTCCTTCGGGAGCAAGAGTTCGAATCTCTTAGGTGTCGTATTTTTTGGTTGTCGGAGTAGATAGACTTTTGTGAAGGAGCGAGTCGGGGGCCTTCTTTTTCAGGGATCACGATATTTAAGGAGCAACATCACTTGGCTAGCGACAAAACAGATGGCAAAAGGCGACGACTAATAAGTGTTGATTCTGAGCCCTTGTCCCAATTACCGAATCGAATGTTTTAGCATTCCTCCTACACCCTACTCACCCTCTTAAACACACAGAAAAACGCTTAATCAGTAATGAAATAAGATTAGCTTACTTTTTCCTCTTACCATTTTTAAATATCTAAAATCATGATTTTAGGTGCGTTTTCTTGTAATTTCGATGCCGAAGGACGCTAGAATAAACTTTCATATCTATCTACCCTCTTGTTCCTTCACCAAATCTAGAATTTCCGGGATTAAATCGACGATTTCAGGTGTGTTTTTCGTGATTTAGATGCTTAAAAAGCTAGAGACAAATAACTCAATTTGATTATAAAAGAGGGCTTTTATGATTTGAAACGAAAAAGGAAGGTAGATACGACTTGTTCGGTAAACGCAATCTTCAACTCGCGTTCTCTTATATTATGCATTCTAGCTAGAAGGGGCCAGCATATACCCGAGGGGCTTTGGGATTTTGTGATACTTATAAGCCTAAACGACTACATAAATGAACCAAACCTACTTTACGATCTAGTCAGACATGGGTGATGTTCATCGATCACCGTACCTCAGGTGACCTTGTCTGAACCTGTCTTTTCCTTTATGTTTCTTCTTCACTTTCGCTCACTCCTGCCCTCAGTCGTCCTTCTAAATCGATACAGAAGACTGCCTCGTTCCCCGTTCCCCGTTTTTTGAATCCTTCTTCCAAAGGCCATTCACGGTATTTCGGTAAACTGTGAGATTTTGAGTGCTCCGAGGGAACGCGACTCGACCATACAATGCTGCTGCTTGACTTTCATCCATGTCGATGGCTAAATACCAGTCAAACGGTCTCGCATCGGAGTGTTTCTCTTATCGCTGGCGCCTGATCAGGTTGACTATAACCGTATTCCACGTGACTCTTGAAAGGAGGGTCTGCTCTTTCAACTCTCAGTTAGCAATATCGAGCCAGGGGGCAGGGCCTCACTCAGTCTCTTTTGTTTTGGAGTCTTCCCGTAGCAGCTATTCCGTGTACTTACAGATTAGCAGCTTCTGTGTTAACTAGTTTCAACATCAAGGAGCATCAATTGGGTTCTTTGTGTGAGTGCCATTTTGTTGTTATAAGAGGGTATATGTTGGCTTGCATTCTCTTCTGGACACATGTAGCTTAGAATCTCCCGAGAAATAACTTGAGTCTCGCCTTGCTCTCTTCCAGGGCCACTAGGTATCGTAGAAGTACACCATGAAACCTCGCGGCAAAACTCTAGGTGCACGAGCTCTTCAATCCCCCTGAAATCTCTGGAACGATTATGCAGAGTGTTCTCGAGGTACGTAGAGAATAACACCTGTTGTCTCGAGCCAAAAAGGAGGAGGATAAGCAAAATCCGAAGTTTAGGTGTACGCAGAATTTTGCCGTGTATTCTCACTGACGTTACACCGCATAGTTCAAGCAGACTTATCCACAGATAACGAAGTTGAGGTGATTTCATCACTGATCCAATTCACCAAGATTAAGTTTCAAGCTGCCAAAGAATGGACCCCCTAAGCATAACAGCTGCCGTCGTTGGCCTCGTTGCAGCCACCGCGAGAGTAGCCTCGCTGATCTCGGGCTGCCTTTCCAAGACACCGTCAGCGTCGGACCAGATTCGCCAAATATTATCCGACATTGGCGCCCTGAAAACTTGCCTTTGTGGCTTGCAGACGCTGTTTGTAGGGACCAATCTTCTCCCATCCAGTCGTCAGTCCATGATACAGGTCGATCATCTTGCACTGACGTTGACCGAGACTATTTTGACTATTGATGAACTCGAGAATCTTTCAAATTCAGCATCATCTGGCTTTTCGATACTTTTTGACATGAAAGAAAACCAGGAGGTGAACAATATTGCCCGAAAGCTCAAACGCCATAAATCTTCACTGTCATTGATACTGAACATTTTGCAATGGTAAAATCTCTCTGGCAGAGAATCCTAGTCTGAACTAACATGCCTCAGCCACTCGGACCTAGAGGCTCGATCTGCTCAGCACAACTTGCATAAGCTTGTAGAACAATTGCTACTCAGCAACTTAGACATCTCGCGACGGCTTAAATCATTGGAAGACGTCAATTCAGTCCAGAGCGACCTGAAGAGCTGCCTTGAAGAGCACCAAGACGAAGAGAATGCCATGGATGATCTCAATTCGATGCAGTCGGGGCATACTGACATCACCCTGCCGTCGACTGTCCACGACGCCCTGTACACATCACGAGTCTATAAGAGGACTCGAATGTACGAGAGCGACGTATCCTTTAGCACTTCCACTCTTCGACCCCATGCATTCTCGGTGTTTTCAGAGCTGACCTTGTCGGACATTTCGAGTCTCTCAGTGATTGCCTTGCCATTGTACTTAGCGGATGTGTCAAATGGGGAATATTACCATTTTGGAGAATACATTGATACTGAGAAAGCATCGATTGGGCTTTCGAAGACACCTACCAATAGTACTTCAAGCTCTTTTAGCACACAAGGTTGGCTTTCGGACGCCCCCCTTGAATTCACATGGTACGACGCTTCGCCAGAGAACTCTTCACGGCAATCGCTGGGTGTAGAGAGCCCCGCCGCGCGTTCCTACCGGCTGATCGTGCTTGGGGATATCAACTCTGGGAAGATAGATTTGGTAAAACAGGTAAGCTATATAGTCACTTACTAAAGGGTGACTTGACCTAAAGTTCGAGTTGTTGTAGTTCGTTACGGTATGCCCAGAACCCTACTTGCAGACTGAGTACGGCTGCCATTGTTGGTCGAAATTATTGGTCGACGATGAGATTTGTTCTCTGAAGATATCAACCGATGAAGGCTATAAATCTTACGCCGTACCCCGAGATCATCTCTCAAGAAGAGGAACTGGAGTCCTATTAGTTTACAATGTCCTCAACCATACATCGTTCACTAATATCCAGCAATACTTATTGGATCTGCAAAGACACTGGTCTATATCCAAAGGCAAAACTGGAGGAATCTCGAAGCCTCCATCGTCAGTATTTAGGAATAGGTCCATGATCCTCGTGGGTTATTCCCCGACCTCCTTAAGTACACGCGAAGTTCCCTTCGACCATGGGAGAGATCTTGCAAGTCGACTTGGTTGCAAGTTTCGGGAACTTAGGGGAGATCAGGGGACTCATGTGCAAGACACTTTCTACGAGGTCATACGCTTGATGCGCGAAAAGGATAAACGGGCCCAAGAAATATCAAGGGCTCGCGCCAAACGGTCAATATTCAAACGTCACATTCCTCCGACCACCTCAATGGCTTCAGCGTATCATTTTGGCCCGGGGTGAGTGGCATCGATGGGGTCGATGTCATGGGAGGCATTACTGTCCGAATGGACTTGACCTTCAGCGAAAGCATTACATCTAGTCAGACGACGACACCATGAAATTCTAGCACAGCAATTCTGGTTTTACTTTTGGCGAGAAATAAAGATTAGTTTGTCTCTTTGGAAAGCGTGTTGAAAGACAAATTGAATCTTCCGTTCCTATCAAAATGGCGGATATCAGATTTGAATCTAGGGGGTATGACCCCAAATTTAAGGTTGGGCGATTTGCGTGGGAAGCAAAGACGAGGAAGGGAAGGAGATCCTCGCATCTATCTCTTAATAAGTGAGCGCTATATATACGTACTTGCGCTTATACTTTGAGGAGATTTGTGCATGACTACTGTAGACTATATCTTTCAGACCTAATATCACGCTATATCTCACTATAAAGTCCATAATCTCGAGTCAAGTCGAGTTCAACATAATCTCCTACCTCGTATAAAGTACTTAACTTGATTTTCCTTAAATTAGAGGACAACCAAAAAGATTATCCTTCCAGATCAAGGACATTCGCAAGGTAGCGTGGAGAGAAAGAATCCCCTCTTGACATAGCAGACAACCCCTAACTCCTGAGAGGTAGGACAAGACTAAAAAGATAATTCTTCTTCATTAGCCGGACAGTTCACTTAATTCTCTTAATATTTTTAGGAAGGTAGCTTAGACGGTCCTTGGCAATCAAGGAGATTGAAGGAGATGTCCTCCACCAGTTCGATTTCCGTGATCCTCTTTCTTGATACTGGGAAAGTGATCCGACCTGAGCGAACGCTGTCTTGCAACCATCAACTACTAGCCACAAGAGACATCATGATATGATAGAGTTTTATAATTCATTATCCATCCTCGTGCATCATATCATCTCAATGCAGCCAGTTTGGAAGACCTCCAGTCAAACGGCGCACACCATTCACCTTCCCTTCAATGCAAAAGGTAACACTCAGACACAAACAATAAAAGAGCCAAAGTAAGAACAACCGACCCAAGCCCCTATAAAACATACATCCCTAGACTTGCCTGTCAACTACCACCTTGACACCTCGAGCCCTTCTCTTCTGATACTGCCACAGAATCAGAGACCGGCAATTGTGTTAGTTGTAATTCAGACGCCACCCGGGCATGAAGGTGAAAGACTGTGAAGTCGGAACCGTTTATGTAGCGGCCGGATTAAAATAAGATTTCCATGAAATTTGAAGAATGGAATGCCATGAAGCCGTGGCGCCGTGATCCGCCGTTATCAGTGACAGAGATCTAAATGATCATGCTTTTCGTCCTGGAGTGATGGCGTAGTTCTCTTCGCGCGTGGCCATGGTCGGTCTTCTTCTTGAGACTGTCTTCGCGTTTCATCACAAGATCACACCATCCGCCTTTAGAGCCATCTCCTTCTTTACCAACACAAGAATCGAGGACTTTCATCCAGGCTTCTTTGTCAGCGGCGGTGTCGGCATAGAAGTCGATAACCTCGCCATTATTGAATCGAATTCGGAAGCCTTCCTCAACAAACATATAACCTTCTTCCTCTTCG